GTAACTCCATAAGCCCCGCCCCTTTTCTGGGGTGTGTCTCAGATCAACTCATTTTGAGGCTGTCTCTTTAAATCCAAACGAGGCACTTCACACCCCGCCCTCCTCCAGCTTTCAGATCATTCTAGTTTCATAGAAGGGTTTACGACTATATAGCTGCACAGAAACTTTTTTATTTACAAATTAAAAGATGTCAACAAGGGAAGACTTGTCCATCCAGCCTAACATGTTGGAGCCAGAGTCTGACCCAGAACCAGAGAAGAATGAAACACACCAAACTGTGGTTGGTGAGACCATACTGTGACGTACACAAGAGACTAAATTCAAATTTTCTGCCTCCTAGAGACTTCAAGTACACAACAAAATGTATTTAACAGTTAAAAAAACTATTTTGCACAATACATCCCCTTCAATACATGTAGGATAGCAGCCCCTTCGGGGAGCATTTACTGGTCTCTTTAAGTTCAAAGCCTCACCTATGATCAGATATGGTTTTTGACAAAATGTTCCTGGATACTAGCAGCTAAATTTAGCTTCTTCTGTAGGGTGGCCAAGCTAAGCCTTAAAGATAAAGTGAGGAGCTGTGTCATCTGGAGGAGCTCTGCACGGCGCTGCCCTAAGAAGAGGGATTTTGTGTCCACTTTGGCCTGGGAACACATCCAGATCCCCCAGGAGAGGGTCTCTAAGGAGAGGGATTTTGGGTTTCCCTTCTGGACCTTTTGTTTTGTGATACAATCACAGAAAAGTAGGAAATACAGCTTCACCTCAGGTACAGATTAGAAGTGTTGCTGCTTTTAGAATCTGTCAAAGTAAATAAAAAAAGGTAAAAAAAAAAAGGATCTGTCAAAGCGCAAACATGTTTCCTTGTCTCATATTATTTACACATAAGAGGAGATATAATGATCAGAAGAGAATTTAATATCCATTCTTTTCATCTTTACACTTAATTCTAGGAAAGAAACTTTAGGTGGGTAAGACATAAAAATGACCACCTCAGTTTTGGCCTGTCTCCATGGGACAAACAGCAACACGTTAGCATCAGCAGCAAATCCTCGGTATAAGACATTTTCTAATGAATGGATTACTTTCTTCTGTTTAATTTTTTACAGTTTGTGTCACAGCCTCACTGTAGCTCTGTTCTCCTGCATATCATCCCTTTCTGCCCTTTCACTTCTCTCTCAGCCCAGAGTCTGATGAGTGTACACCTGGTGTTCTAGGAAACTGATCATTAAACTGACAACACATCTAGAAGAAGAAGTATAGTTAGAGAGACCACCTGTGACCATTCTGAGGGAGCATTTAAGGAGGCGAACACTTTTTTATAGCCACTGAAAAATGATACATCTTTCTAATCTAAGCCCCCAAAAACCCTCCACAGACCTAAAGGCAGTTTATTTAGTTTACCACTCGTCATACAACATTTATCAACAGGTCAAACAGGAAGCTTCATTGATTAAACTGACGTAATTCTCCTCCATCGTGATCTCCCAGATAACCCTGAACAGTTGATATTCAGCACTGCTCTGAAGTGATGGGATTCAGTTGACAGAATTGGCCTGAAAGTAAAAGAATGGCTGCCTTGATTGTGTTTGCCTTTTTTGTGTTTGAGCGAGTCTGTCAAGTGTGCAAACAGCTGCAAAATGACGATAAGGGCAATAAAGGATAATTACGGAAAGATGTTTATGATTAGGAGAAGTGGAGGCTTTGGCACCGTTGCGTAAACAAGAGAGTGATTGGTTTCACTAATGAGCAGGAACAATAACTCAGAATGTCTCGTTATCAGCAGTACAGCACAGATTTTAACAATCAAAAGAGGCGCATACACCCACAACTGGTTTACCAGCAAGAAGTGGGCAAAATATTCACACGTTTTGACATTTTCTCTGTTTTGTTGCTCTACAACTTGAACCTTAAATGAGTTTCAGTTTGATTATGAGAAATAAGCATGCACAAAATACTGCAGAATAATGAAGTCAAATGGTGCATGTATTTAAACTTAGCACAAAAGGTAAGTAAATTAATGTTTGGAAGATTATTTCTTTGTTGTAAAAATGCTTCTTGGCAATAAACATTGTACTGTTGGAAAGCCTGTTTTTTTCCCTTCTGAATGGTGCCACATTTGTAAGGAACATGCATTTTGTGGGATGAGCAGTAGAGCTAAGTAAGTGGGTTGCACGCATGAAAAAATTGTTAACTGTTCTCTACCAAAGAACTTATTTTGGTGTTGTTATTGACTCTTGTTTTGAATGTCTGGTACCTCCAGGTACTGCCAATCAGGTGCAGGTATAAGATTTATTACCAAGAAGTGTTGTTACAACAACTAAAAAATCTACTAAACACTCATTTCCTTACTTTTTCAGCTAAGTAGCTGAACGCCCACCCTCCCACCCCTTCTGTGTTTCCTGGACCCATTGCTGCAGTGCCTGAGCCTTTGCTGCCCGAGCCGATTGTTTCGGCAACCGAGTTACCTGAGTCTTCTGGGTCATCTGAATCGCCTGAGTCTGTGCCTGAGTCTACTGAGTGTCCTGTGTTGGCAGTTCCTAAGTTGGTGGTTCCTGAGTTGAAAGTTCCTGAGTTGATGGTTCATGAGTTGGTGGTTCCTGAGTTGAAAGTTCCTGAGTTGGTGGTTCCTGAGTTGGTGGTTCCTGAGTTGGAAGTTCCTGAGTTGGTGGTTCCTGAGATGGTGGTACCTGAGTTGGTGGTTCCTGAGTTGGAAGTTCCTGAGCTGGAAGTTCCTGAGTTGAAAGTTCCTGAGTTGGTGGTTCCTGAGTTGGTGGTACCTGAGTTGGTGGTTCCTGAGTTGGAAGTTCCTGAGTTGGTGGTTCCTGAGTTGGTGGTTCCTGAGTTGGAAGTTCCTGAGTTGGAAGTTCCTGAGTTGGTGGTTCCTGAGTTGGAAGCTCCTGAGTTGGAAGTTCCTGAGTTGGTGGTTCCTGAGTTGGTGGTTCCAATAATTCTTGATTCAGTGGTTCCTGAGGTTCATGGGTCGTCAGCCATCTCCTCTTTGTCTCCTCTGTCGCCTGTGTTCGCCATCGTCAGGACTCTGGCTCCATCAACATCCACTGGCTCCTCATCGCCTCCCGCCTCCTCCCTTGGCTCCTCATCTGCTTCCGCCTCCTCCCTTGGCTCCTCGTCTGCTCCCGCCTCCTCCCTTGGCTCCTCATCTGCTCCCGCCTCTTCCCTTGGCTCCTCGTCTGCTCCCGCCTCCTCCCTTGGCTCCTCGTCTGCTCCCGCCTCCTCCCTTGGCTCCACTTCAGTTCCTATTGGGCCTCCTGTTCCTACTGGGTCCCGCATTGAGTGGTCTCCTGGCTGTCCTCCGGATCTCTTGCTCCTTGTTGGAGGGTCTTGGGGCCATTCCCCTGAACATTACTCAACTAACGTGTGTGTGTGTACTGGTGTGTTGCTCTGCAGTGTGTTTCTGTCCCCTGAGTCCTGCACCTCTCCTTTTGTCGACATCGGGAGCCGTCGTTGAGGGGGAGGTCCTGTCACAGTCTGTGTCTTTTCTTTCTTTGGTTTTCTAGTGTTTCAGTGTTTCCCTGTGTGTCTCTGCCCTGCAACACCCCCATGCTCACCTGTTCCCTCTTGTGTCTCCTCCAGGTGTTTCTCATTGTCCTAATTAGTTTCAGCTTTATACTGTATTCAGTGTCTGATCATCTTGTGTTTGTCCAATCATTGTTGCTGTTTACCAGCCAGTGTGGTGTTCTTCCATGTCCCCTGAGCTGTGTGTTTTGAGCTGCCCTGCTCCCGCTCCTCTCTCGCCACCCTTTTTGTTTATTAATAAAGATTTTCGATACCATTTTTGATTTTTGCCTGCGCCCTGGGTCATTATGTCAAAAACCTCACACTCCCATTTCTTCTTTTTGCATTTCAAAGCTCTATGTAGAACATTCTAATGATCCAACCGCGCAAAATGAGAAATTTCAGCTGGTCTTAAAACTTTGATCAGGAATGTATATAATATCAGCCTTTAACATAAAATTGGCATAAGGTAAAGACAAACCACTAATATTCAACAGTCCACAATGTGTCAATAAGAACAATCAGCTATTACTGCACTCAGGTTTTGTCTGTGACCACCCAACCTTTAGCAATCAGTTCCATTTCTATTCCCCTGCCTCAGACCTCTCAGTAAGTTTCAGATTTGCAGTCAATTCTTAACGGTTCCTCCAGTCGTCTTTCCCCCTCCACTACGCTGGCCTTGAGAAAGCTGTGACAGATGCGCATTGGTCTTGCCAGCACCAAAGCTAGTCTAGTCTGTCCCCACCAAGCCCTCGCCTGGGGTGGCCACACTGCGTGCAGCCTGTCTACTACTGTTGTACCATTGTTCATCTGCTTATACTAGTAGCCATTTTCACGTATCTGAAGTGCTGTCATAAACGCTGTGTTGGGAAGGTGGAGCTAATGCAAACAAAGGGTTGGGAGGGCATTGCCAAGAGCAGCTTATTTGGATAAACATCTTGTTCTGAAAGGAGCTCAGAACAGGCATAACTGACCAGGTGAAATCTTTCAGATGTATCCTATATTGTTCAAGGACCCATAACAGGTCTCCTTTAAAGTCTCTATTTTTGCCTGGTCTGGTCTGTAAAAAAGAGGAATGTGGAAATAACTTGGTTTGGGGATGATGTCACTGTGTGACTAAGCTTTGAGCTTTTCGCTAATATTACTGAGAATATTATGAATGTATTTTGTAGAATTTATAGTGACAAAGAAAATACATGAAAATATTTAGTGTGAGTTAAGTCTGTTAATAATCTATAAAGTTAAAGCAAATCCTTAACCACTCAGCAAAATATTATTTCCTCTATTATCAGGTTAACAGATGAGTGGAACTGTGCCCGCCACTTATTATAGAGGTTTTTACCTGCAAAATAGAAACAAACGTTTGATTTCTTATCTCAAAGAAGAATTTAATATTCCTACATTTCTTCAAATCTCTTCTGATTTTTTTCAGGTCATTATTTATATTTTCCATTTTTTCCTTCCTGTGTTCAGTATTTATAGCTCACCTTCAGCCTTGCAGGTCTTGGTAACAAGGTCCATCTCATATCCTTCATAGCATTCACATTTAAAGTCCCCCTTGTAGTTGATGCAGATCTGGCTGCAGGCATCGGGGTTTTCACATTCATCAATGTCTGCAGGATGGAGAGCAAGGAGACGTTATCAATCAGAAGAATATCAAAGATCAAACAGTGACGGAAAATGAAAATCACCTTTGTGACAAACGACATTGGAAAATAAAATCCTGAAGCTGCTATTTCTAATAGTGTATCTAACGTGTGTCATTCTGGTAAAAAAGCATGGACAACTTTGTATTTTTCACTTGATTTCAGTTTGTTTGTTTGTTTACAATGAATGGCTCCTAAAAGGTGAGGCAACACTTTCAATAAATGTATATGTACTATAACCTCAACTCTACCCAGTGCACATCCTACTGTACTATACTATACTATACTATACTATACTATACTATACTATACTATACTACAGTGGTTCCCAAACTTTTTATCTTCTGACCCACAAAATATCCATGGCAAAAACTTGTGACCCCAAATATTACTGGTCTGAGTATATGAGCTTCATTAATAACCCTAAAAACACAGTTTTTTGACAATCTAAACACTTTGTACACAAATATAAATACTTATTTTTTACTTATTTAGTGTTTTTGTAATAATTATAGGGAAAATATTGCATCAGCAATTATTTTATTAGCCTTTAAATTGATTTCTGGAGATTATCCAAGGTGCTTCATGACCCATAATTGGGNATACTATACTATACTATACTATACTATACTATACTATACTACTACATACTATTTACACCCTAATAATAAAGACTAAAAATGCAACACTGAATGTCCCATTTTCCATAGTAGATTTAATTATAACTACAACCACACATCCAGTGAAATCAGGACATTGTGTAAAACATAAGTATAAACAAAATACAATGATTTGCAAATCCTTTTCAACCTATGTTTATAATGATTCCACTACAAAGACAAGATATTTAATATTCAAACAGATAAACTTTACTGTTTTTTTTTTTTTTGCAAATAGTTCCTCAATTTGAATTTGATGCTGCAACATGTTCTAATAAAGCTGAGACAGGAGCAGCAAAGTGAAGAAATTTATAGTTATTAGAGGTTAGTACTGATGTTAAAGGCACAACACTATACTTTTAGGGTTTCCTTTTTATAACATTGATAATGTTTAATTTAATATGTTTTGATTGAAATAGGTTCAGTTACATGTCCGAATTATATAACAACACATAATCAACCATTATGAGAACAGTAGATAAGAATTTTGTCTGAATGCCTGTGATTCAGCCGTAGGTCAGTAGGGGGCGAAAGCAGGCATTGAAGACTCTGTATAAATTGATTAACTTCCTGGTTTTTCACCAGTGTGGTTTCCTGTCAGCTCCGGTGACATTAAACCTCACTCAGTTCCAGAATTCTGGTGTTGTATGGTTTTGATTCCTTCTACAAATCATTTTATTTAACAAAAGACTGGGAAAAATGAGGAATGTTCAAAAACACTTGTTTGAAGCATTCCACAGGTGAACAGGTGAATTGGAAACAGGTGTGCTATGATAAGTTATAAAAAGAGCATCTTTGAAAGGCTCAGTTGTTCATTAGCAAGGATAGGGCCACATTCACCACTTTGTGAAGAACAGTTTAAGAATGTTTCTCAACGTACAATTAACAATAATTTAGTGATTTCATCATCTACAGTCCATAATACTATCAAAAGATTTAGAGAATCTGGACAAATCTCTGGAAGTCAGCAAAAAAACTGAAAACCAACACTGAATGCTCGTGACCTTTGACCCCTCAGGCAGCCCTGCATTACAAACCCACATCATTCTGTAACAGATATTAACACACGGGCTCAGGAAAACTTCAGAAAACCTGTCAGTGAACACAGTTCATCTCTTGTAAAACTACAAAGCAGACATGCACAAGTGAGACAAGCGTTTAGGGCCCAAATATACAAATATTTTTAACCATTATGACTCAAATTAAGTGAAAATACTCAAATGTTTAATGTTGGAGACACAATCAAGTCAGCAGTTCAGAGGAAGACAGAGGGTAGATAAAGAGACAGGGTGCATCCTCTGGAACTTCTGCTGACCTTCCTTTCAGACACCCTTTCCCATGGGTGTGATGTGGAAGTGTTTGTGTTAAAACAGTGGGGAAATGTGTGAAGGACATGTGATGTGTGAGAGAGGTGTAAATGTGTCTGTCTTCCTGCAGGAACGACAACCGGGGTGGAGAGCATCACACTGATATTTACACCCATGCGGCCGGCAGTGAGCCTTCTGCTCCACACATCTTCGTGTTTAAACTACGTGAATATTCACCTCCACAAGTCTTCTTGTCCAGCAGCTGGTAGCCGGTCGGACACTGGCACTCAAAGCCAATTGGTCGGTCCATGCAGACATGGGAGCATCCACCATTATTGATCATACATTCATTCAACCCTGGGAGACAAAATGACAAGAAAGTGGTCAATATGTGTATGTGTGTATATACAGTGTATGTATATATATATATA